AAGTTCTTCTTGGGGAAATAACATTTGGGCTTAAAACTGAATGAAATATATATACATATATAGTCACAGGATGTAAAGTTCAGCATAGGGAATACAGTCAATGGTACTGTAACAGCTGTATAGGATGTCAGAGGAATTGTAGACTTGGGGGGCGGTATTACCTTGTGAGGGGTGTAAATGTCTAATCATTATGTTTTGTACACCTGAAACTAATATATAAAAATTAAATTTAAAAAAAAAAACCTGACTGACAACAAGGAGCCAACATGAGAGTTCTTTGCATAAACTATTCCACTGATCAGAATGGGCAAATATCCTAAGAACAGAAGCAGTTAAAGAAGGAAATAAGAAAACAAAACAGAGAATCTATGATGGAAGCAATCTGGCTGATATGAGGCTAATAAACATTGGCTACCAGTGGGTCACGATTTTAGCCCTGAGCTTCCTGTTGGAAGCAGGAAAAAAGAAACCTAGTCAGGGCTAAAATGCACCCTAGAAAACAATCCTGAATACTGACTTGCACAAAAACCATACTCTACATGAACTACTTATAATACTTAAAAATCAGAAGCAGATTAAATAAATAAAGGGATAAACAGGTTACAGCGCACATTTACCTAATATTGGGTTGTCGGAAAAGTCATGATGCATTTTTGCAATGAAAAACAGAAAAAATACGTCATGACTTTTCCGACAACCCAATAGATTACTACGAATCTATTAAAATTGAGAACTATAACATAAATATATTTATACTATAAAGCTGAGTGAAAAAGCGAGATATGAAATAACAGGATTACTGTTTCATGTAAACCCTTCAAAACCCTACAAAAACCCTCACCCCCAACAACCAATAAGCTCAACTGAAAGAATCACACATGGAATTTCTAAATTTAATATGTTTGAGTGGTAGAGTTACAGGTAATGCTTTTTCTTTTTCTTTCCTCTTTACTCTGTTTTTCAGATTAAAAAAAATTTAAGGAAAAAAAAATCCATGTATATGTAAGCAACTGATAAATTACGTAAGCTAAATAGACAAATACGGTGTAATAAAAGTGTATGGCATGTATAATTAACAGTTCTGAGGGGGAAAATATAAAATTAGGTGCATAACCACATAAACAAATGTAACTAAATGGGTGAAAACGCTGCCTGTTTCCTCCCTCTCCAATCATCTCCCACAATGATGTTACTCGAGAAATCTTTAAAAAATATATATTGACTGTGGTAGTTCCCTGTGTGCAACCTTTAGTTGTTCCCCAGCATCTAAAGGACAGCGTCCAGGTTCCTGGACACAGATATGGATCTCCGCCTCAGCTTCCTGTCTATTTCTCTGACATCATTTGCCATACACCAACTCCAGCTCATCCTATATTATGTAGCCAAAGAGAACCACTTCAAATTTCTCAAATTTGAGATGTTTTATGCTACTCTTGCTTTGCCTGAAATGTCTTCTTTTTTTTGTCTACTTATAGTCCTAATCTTCCTTGAAAGTTCCACTCAAATGCCACCTCTGTTACGGGGTCTTCCCTGATTGCCCTGAACAGAGATGAACACTATTCCTTCTGTACCTCTACCATTCACTGTAAAAATCTCTACAGCAAATATGGCACAGTACAACTATTTTTGACTACGTATCTGTCTTCCATACTACCTACAATGATTTCTTTAAGAGCTCATTCCGTGTTTTATTTTTGTATCCTGAGAACCTAGCACTGTTCTTGGCATCAAATATGTGCTGATTAAAGGGAAAACAAGCAAATTTACCTCTACTGGTCTCACCCACGCCAAAGAACAAGGGATAGCCTGAGCTGGAAGCTTTGTGTAGCAACACCTGCAACAGATAATCAAGTATATGAATATTTAATCCTATCTTTAAACTGCATGTTATGGAATTATAATCCATTTCTTGATTTTAGCTATTCATACCATTTCAGAGTGTTTTATTCATGCATTTTTTTTTAATATTTGTTCCCAGTATGCTTTGTCTCAGATATTATTTCACAGGATTGTCATTAGTTCTGGAAATTTTTCTTAGCACACAGTTCTTAGAACACAGCATTTTATTTTATTTTATTTTTTTATTGGGGAATTGGGGGGATGGGAACAGTGCTGGGGAATTGGGGGAAGGGGAACAGACAAGTTGCTNTCATAATTTTCAAATGTTGTGGAAATGTATTATCTTCTAAATTTAATAGTTAAAAAAATGTAAATGTTGAAAGTTTTTCCTAGTCACAAAAATGATCAATATCAATATTAATCATGATATAGACATCGCTATCAATAACTGCAAAATAAGAGAATGAAAGTGGTGTTCTTTTCTAAGAACACCTGAGAGAATTAAATACTTCAGGGTAAATCCTCAATCAGTTATTTAAAATGAAAGTATTCACATTATAAAGGATAACAAGCCAAATGTAGTTTTTTGTGGTCATCTGTATATTAAGAGGATGCTTTGCATTAAGGCAAGAATCTCACAGATGTCTCTAAGATTAAAGAATTAATCAAACAACCTTCTATATTAAGTTCTCTTATACCTTGAAGTGTTGAGATTACACAAAATACATTACAAAATACATCTAGGATGCTCTACCTTAGAAGGGACATTTTCTCGGCATACAATAGCATGGCCCTCTGTTCTCAAGACATGATGGAAATAGACGTCTTCATTTGAGGATGTATCACACAGGAAAATGTTAAGGATTCCATCTACATATTCATCCACGACTCCCACTAATGGCTTCAAACCACACAACTTCTGGAACTGCAAAATAGCTCTGGATGTCCAATATTCCTGAAATAAATTCCAGATAATAAATTCAAACATGAATTATAGTAACCACATAGCCAAGTGAATTCCTGATGAACTAGAGATTTTAGTAGAAAAACAAAACCATTAAAATACTAGAATAACACATTGGAGAATATTTATGCGTTGGGGATGAGAAATGTCAGAATAAAGGGAAAATGATAAAAAATGTGATTACAGGAAAAAAATATTATTTATGGGAAAAAATTATTATTTATGTGAAACACTTTCATTTTTCAGAAATGGTTGCATGAAATTATTGGACCAACCCTCTCAGGCAAATAATTAAAATTCTAGACAAAATATTTTGAAAATGTGTCCAAAAAGCATCAAAGAACTGATAAGAGAGTAACAAATTATCAAGCCAAAATTAAAGGGAAAGTGGGAACTATTTTTGCCTCAAAGGTATCTGCTAATCCAGGAAAATTTGAACTTTGAGCAAAGGGAACAGAGAGCAAAACCAGTATCCACCCATGGTAGGGAGTGGAGAGAACTCTCTTTCATTAAGCTGAGTCCCTGCAGGGGTGCACATTCAGGATAGGGGGTGGGGGGGAGAAGAAACTAGCCTTCATATGGATTTGCAGCTCAAGTTTCACATCACCTGTGTGGTACACAAATCTTCAAGTGGTTCATTTAAATGAATAAGGTTTCAGGCTGGTAGTATTCCTAGGTACTTGGCAGAGTGAATGTAAATCTCTCTAGGGGTAGGCAATCTCAGCCTGTATCATTCAACCATTCTTACATATAATTTTTCAAAGACAAAGAGCAGTAAATAGGGAAAGATGAAAAACACACAAAGAAACAACAAATCACAAGAAAGAACAAGGAGGAATAACATAACTGAAACAAACCCTCAAAAACTTTAGATATTTAAATTTCTAGACCAACATAAAACAGCTAAATTTACTCTGCTTAAAGTAAAAACAAACAAAAACCAAATTAATTTGAAAGTTGCATAGATCATCAATCTGTAACAAGCGATCTAACAGAAAACCAAGAAAACTTTTAGAATGTAAAAATACAATAACCAAAATTAAAAACCTAACAGGTTGATTCAATTGCAAATAAGGTTGAGTTAAATAATAAATCTGTAAAGTGGAAGATAATTGGAAAAAATTATCCAGAATGCAGCACGGAAAGACAGTACTATGATATTTAAAATACAGAAAGAGATGTTAAAAGATATGGAAGATAAATTGAGAAGGTTTAACATACTTTTAATTATAGACCCAGAAAAAGAGAGGTAGAAACAGAAACAGAGGGAATATAACGTTGTGTGTTTTGATCTCAGTGGGAGTTCACTGAGAGAATAAATACATGAATATGGGGAAAAGACAATAACTGAAAAGATAATGGCTGAGAATTTACCAGATTTAATGAAAAGTAACAAGGCACAGATAAAAGAAGTCCAATGAGCCACAAAGTAGGATAAATAAGAATAAATCCACACATAAACATACTATAACTGAGTAACACAAGCAACAAATAGGAAATCTTAAAAACAGCTATAAAAAGGGCACTGCCTACCAAGGTACATCCATTAGACTGACAGATGACTTCTCAAATATGCTAGCGAAACTAGAAACCAGTGCAATGATATCTTCAAGGTGCTGAAGATATTAACTACCAACCTAGAATTCTGTACTTAGTGAATACATCTTTCAAGAACAAGTGCAAAATGACATTTTCAGGTAAATAGCAGCAAATCCTCACAAAATGCACATAGTTCAGACAGAAGGAAAATATTCCCAGATGAAGGGTTTGAGTGGTAAGGATGAAGAACTAAGAAACTGAGGAATATGTAACAAAATCTAAATGGATATCATTATTTTATACGGTCAATTTTCTGAGGGTTAAAAAATATAACATTACACAACCAAAGTAGATCAGAAGAGGAGGTTAAAGAAGTTNAGCTGTTGTTCAGCATCTTAGCTGTGGAGGGCAGTGTCACTGGCCCTCATATGTGGGATCCGAACCGGGGCCCTCTGGCGTCCCAAGCCAGTTCTTAATCATCGCGCCACTCGGCCAGCCCAAGGACCATATTCTTAACTCATTTAGTAAAGAAAAGGGCACCAAACTGCACAACAAAATACTTAAGTTCTAGAGCACTGACTTGGAGGGTTCAAGGAGTAGCAACAAAATTTCTATCTATTGCGAAAAATATAAGTCATAAAAAACCATGGTTGGTGAAAAAGAAAACACTCACCTCAAACTCTCCAAGCAGTTTAGAAATAAGTAAACCCTCTGGAAACTTGGACACAACCTAATAAATAGAAAATGAAATACAATATAAATAGACACCACTGGAATGCTGGATGACAAATATCAAAATAAGACAGTATAAATTTAAACAGTAACAAAGGCAAAAAAAATCATTATTATTGAGTGTATGAATTAAAGTTACAATATTTTTTAAATCAGTTTCCAGTTTTAAAAAAGGTTATAACAACAAAACAGCAGTGACTTCTAACATTTCCAGAGTTGAGAAATCATTCTTGCACAAGGCTGCAATGCTAAAACTTTCCAGAAATTCCTACAGCTCTTTAGCTCAGCTAATATATTTAGCTTCAGCTCACATTAAAAAAAAATTCTACAGCATAACTTCAAGCATTTTAAACGGTAGAAAAAAAATACAATGGGCAATATATAAAATTTTGGAAAATACGGTTAAGCAAAGAGAAAATGTCCACAGATAGTCGCCATTGTTGTCCATATGCACATTAAAAAAACCTACATATAATATAAAAATAGGTCATTATTTCTATAACCAGTTTTTAAATTTCAAACCCTACCTTTCCATGTCCATAAGTATGGAGCAACATGTTTACTGTCTAGAGTTTTCAAAATATTCAATGTGCTTAAATTTATTTACTCAATGCTCTATTTATGGTTGTTTCCTATTCTTCATCATCACAAACATTGCAACAATTACCCTCATACCTGCATCTGACACCTGTCCAACTATGTTTTAGGATAAATTCTTAGAAGTGGGCTTATTTTATCCCAATAAAGTACAAAAAGCTTTGTGTTTTCCTAGATTTTACAAGATAGATTTTACTAAAAATTCTAATTCAAGCTTCAGAAAAATATAAAAAATTATTCCAAAATTCTGTGACTCAGAGACAGTTGTTGCTGCATTTTAGAAAACATTCTTTCAGGGCCAGCCGAGTGGCGCATTGGTTAAGAGCTGGCTTGGGACGCCAGAGGGCCCTGGTTCGGATCCCACATGTCAGGGCCAGTGACACTGCCCTCCACAGCTAAGATGATGAACAACAGCTCAACCTGGAGCTGGGCTGCCGTGAGTTGCCAGCAATGGCATAGGCTGCAGCCACTGCTGCAATGGATTGCCATGGGCTACCGTGTGTAGCCAGCAGCCAGCGTGAGCGGCCAGCAGCCAGCGTGAGCGGCCAANTGCTCTCACCAGCTGAACCATCCTGTCCCTGTTGGCAGCTCAGTGCACAGCATCACTGGCCCATGTGAGAATCGAACCAGCGACCCTGTTACTCAGAGCTCACACTCTTGCGCAAGCTCTTAACCAACTGAGCCACTCGGCTAGCCCCCATCTCATCCATTTTCATGTATTATACCACTACTGATAAACTGATGATTCTCCATCTCTATCTTTAGACCCTACATCCCTTCTGCACTTTAAAACTTTATTTCCAACTGTATGGAAAAGATGCTCGTTGTCCTCCAATTTCCATTCTCCTCTCTTTTTTCTGTAATGGAATCCCAAATTTTAACTGAGTATATGGCCTTTCAGATTTCCCAGGCTCCCTGGCATCTAGATGTGGCTATGTGAATACTAAGCTCTGGCCAATGGGATGTAAGAAAAAGTAAAGTGTGCATGATTAAGATGGTAAATTTATGTGTATTTTACCATAATTTTTTTTAAGTCTGAAAAATCCCACCTTGTGTCTTTCAAAGAAAAGGGGCGGCTTCCAACCACCCACCTTCTTCTTTTTCCCCTTCCCACTGGCTGGAATGAGGACCCAGTGGATGAGGTGGTGAGCTACAATCGGACCCTGTGGATGGGCCAACACATTGTCTGGCGCAGCCAGACAGAAACACTTGTGTCTAACACCATGGAGCTACCCTATCAGCCTGTATTGCTTACACATGGATTATTATGGGAAGAAGAAATCAACTTTTATTTTTATGCTACTGTGGTTAAGTTATGTCTTTGTAACAATGGCTAAGCCTATGAATGTCATTTCAACATTGCCAATTCACTGTATCACTGTCACCTTAGATCCATTATGTATAAACTTCTAACTTCTAACCCCAGCTCAAACCTACCCAATCTCTAAAGTCAGCACAGTTTTCATATTCTTTTCTCCCTTATCCTTCTCAACCTCATTCTTGTCACCAAGACCTGATAATTATACTTTCCTGATTTCTCTCCAATTTCTCCCTTCCTTTCCGCTCTCATCTCTCTCACCAAGACTAGCCTATTAATGGATCTTCTTCCTTTCACTCCATCCATCTTCCACACTGCAACTAGAGCTATCCTTCTGAAGTACAAACCCCGCTGTTCTTTCTTAAAACCTTCAGAGGCTCCTCACTGTCTACAGATAAGTCAAAATTCCTTCCATGGTGTTCGTACTCTAGCTATCCCCTAGTCTTCCAGTTTCACGTTCAGTTACTGTCCCCCCAACTTCACTCGGTGGTGACTTCAGTTCCCTATTTGCAGAGCACGCTGCTCACTCCTTTGTTAATGCTGACCCACTGGCACCTCCCTGACTGGCAAATGGTTACGTGTGTTTGAGGTCTAGCTCAAGTATCTCCTTTGTCAGGCTTTCCTCCACCTTGCCCAGGCAGAACCATTGCCTCACACAACATCCCACTTATCCCCTACCCATCTCCCTAGATAATCATAGTGTTCACCAAGGCCAAGATCACGTCGGTCTTCACCTTGTACTGCCAGTGCCTCAACATCCCAACACCAAGCAGCTATAGTATTAATAACAGCAGCCAACATTTGAGCTAGACTCTACTCTAAGTGCTTTAATGTTTACAACTCTGTGAGGTCGGTACTATTATTATCATCCCCATTTTGGAAATGAGAAGTAAAGTAATTTCAGGTTACAGAGCCTGTAAGTGTGTATTGAAACATGCACTAAACCTTACAGGCACACTGAAATGGAATACATGATATTTTTACTAAGTGATTATTATGTGACTTACATTACACCAGGTGTTCTTGGAAATGAGTATATACCAGGATAAAATTAGAAAAAAACATGAAATGCTTTTGGACAGATACAAAATAAATAAAATATTATTATATGTGACACCAATGTAAAATCATTGTTTGTGAATAAATCTACAGTGACTGAAAATGTGCATGGTGTTTACTAAAAAGGACACCATTTTTCAATAAAGAAAAGGGATCATTTAGAATAGTAGTTCTCCAAGTGTAGCTCATAAACTCCTGGCACCCTGATACTGTTTCAAGAAGTCTGTAAGATCAAAGCTATTTTAATATTTTAGTATTGTTATGAAAATAGTTATTTGCCCTTTTAACCGTTAATGATGCTTTTATGGTGTAAAAGCAAGGGTGGGTAAAACTCCAGGTGCCTTAACTAAATCAAGGCAGTGGCACCAAACTTTACTAGTAGTCATTTATTTGTCACTGCCATATAGTCACATTAAATAAGAAAAAGGAAAAAAAAAAGGCACCAATTTCACTTAAGAATGTCCTTGATAAAACAACAAAAATTAAGTATTAAATCTCAACCACCGAATGACTGTCTTTTCAATATTCTCTGTGACACAAATGGAAGTACATACAAAACACTTTCCAAGTTGTCTTAAAGGAAAGCACTTGTGCATTTGTGAAAGAACTAGCTGCTTTTTTGGTGGAACATTATTTTTACTTGGAAGATAAACGAGACACTATTTTCATGGAACACCATTTTTGCTTTAAAGGACCACAAACAAACTATGTTTATTCAGACTTGGGAATTTGACACACATTTTTTTCAAATA